GCAACATGGTAGGTAAAACACTGATATTTTAAATAGTGCCTTTTATTTTTTTAATACACTGAACGTACTGTTTACTAATTATTTTTCTATCTTTCGGTTTGCGGAAAAACTAGGATTTTTATAGTCATTCACTGAATCCGCCGGCGGTATGTTTTCTTTTGTGTTTGTGTTGTGTTTGTGTTGTGTTTAGTTGTGTTTGTGTCGTGTTTAGTTTTGTTCTGTTCTGCTCTGTTCCAAAGTTGGTACATTTAAAAAAGATTTACCGTGGCTGAGCACGGGTATGCAGTTTTTGTATTTGTGTTTTCTTTTGTGTTTGTATTGTGCTGTGTTGTGTTTGAGTTATGTTTGTGTTGTGTTTGTTGTGTTTGTGTTGTGTTTGTGTTGTGTTAGTGCTGTGTTTAGTTTTGTTCTGTTCCCAAGTTGGTACATTTAAAAATGATTTACCGTGACGGAGCAAGAGTATGCAGCTAGTATGTATATATTTGCGTATATATTTTTCATGCATTTTATTCAAGTTTTCTTTTTCTTTTCTCTTTTTTCCCCATCCAGTAACTTGGCTGAGTATTTGGTTTGTTTTGTTGTTTGAGGTGTTTGTTATTTTTGTTTGTTTGTTTTGTTTAGCTGTTTTATAAGACTAGAGATAGATTGTAGAACATTTGTTTTCTTTTTAATATTGATTGGTTCCATCATTTCTACTGTAATAAAATGTGTTAAGTTGTTAATAGATTAAGGTTAACCAGTCTGGGTTTAGCCGGACTTGCACTACGCCCAGAGGCGTCACAGGGCTGGAGGGTGCGGACCGCACCGGGTGACATTATTTAGGGGGGGTGACACAAAGGCAAAATTACCTAAATATATACATATATATAGAGAGAAAAAAAAACGATCATTCCAGTTAAAAAGATTATCAATTCGAGTTAAAAGTCTTTTAATTAAGAACAAAATTGATAAATCCTGTCAAAGGTGTTTGTGTGTATGGGAGGGGAGGGGATGACACCATGATGTAAACCTGCAAAACATATAGAAAACAATACTACCAGCTGTAACCGACTATAGATGAAAATCGTTAGTATTATCTGGGCACAGTTTAAAGCTATCACCCGGTGGAAGGGGGGGGAGGGGGGCTGACACCAACTAAAATTAACAAATCTACGAATCATTCGATCAAGCAAATATTTTGCAATTAATTTTGGTAAATTATAATAATTTGATTTCAAACAGACTTAGGGACGACGTGGCCTAGCGGTAGAGAGCTCGAGTTTGAATCTTTTCATATGCCGACATCTCTGAAATAGATGAACTCTACTTCATCTGCCCCGTGATAGACAGACTTACAAATATATGTGGTATATATATATATATATATATATATATATATATATATATATATATATATATATATATATATATATATATATATATATATATATATATATATATATATATATATATATGCCTATATATAGATTTTTTTTAAGGGAGGGGGGGGGGGTGAAACCATTAGGTGCCGCACCGGTTGACACGCGACCTAGCGACGACACTGACTACGCCCCAATAGCTGATTAGCCTGGGGGTAGATGTAAATATTAGGGTTTTAGACCCCCCCCCCCTGTGGGGCTTACATAAATGTATTATTATTATGAACGAGAAAAATGGCCCGTTGAGGAAGGATACAACGGGCGCTAGGTTGATAGTGCTGTCTATTTTCTTTAAACTAAAACCAAAACCAAAATCACCATCTTAATTCAATTTAACCGGACACAAAAAAATGACATAAAAAACGGATTTTTATCCAGAATTGGTACTTTAATTTATACAAAATATAGTCATAGGCATATCCCTAAACCATGCACCTAATCTCATTCATGACAAAAGTCGCATTTAGAGTTTCTTTCAGGCAACTCTACTTGGGAGGAGGGGGCTCCGCCCCCCCCCCCCCCCACACACACACCCCAAAACATGTCTACCGTCCCATTCAACGAAATATAATTATATACTTTTTCCAGTGTCCGCCCCCTCCCAGAAAATTCTACCCCCGCCCCCCAAAAAATTCAAGTACCCCCACCCCTAGTTGGGGAGGAAAAAGTCTGAAAGAAACACTGGTCGCATTTGTAGATCATACAAACTAAAGGAAGAACCTGGGCGGGGCTTCGCCCCTACCGGAAGAGATGCATGAAAAAAACTGTGCACGCTAAACACTTTTTAGATTAGAAAAATTCCCCCCTCCGGGGAGGAAAATGTCTGAAAGAAACACTGGTGTCGCGCTTAGCCACTACCCGAAGAATTGCATGAAAGAAACTCCAAGCAAACCACTTTTTAGATTAGACACATTAATTAGGCGGTAATTCTATTATAGAGTATCGATGAAGAAATTTCTTTTGAGTTGGGGAGGGGGGGGGGGGGCTCGGACGTTCTTACGCGGGGGTGGGGCTTCGCCCCTACCCGAAGAATTGTATGAAAGAAACTCTTCACGCAAACCACTTAGATTAGACAATGACGTCATATTACTGTGTGCACTCTCCGGCTTGATACTATTTTCTACTATATGCTCCAATGTGACGTCATATTTCGTTTTCGTTTAACTATGCATGTTTTTAATTTGCTTGTGTTTTCTCTATAGCGTTCTTGTCAGATAGATACACAGATACATACACAGACAGCGAAACTATTAGTATTACGAGAAAAATGGCCCGTTGAGGAAGGATACACCGGGCGCTAGGTTGATAGTGCTGTCTCTTTTCTCTAAACTAAAACCACCCCACCCCCCCCCCCCCCCACACCACACCACCCACACCCCCCCCCCCCCACACACACCCACACCCCACCCCCCCCCCCCCCCCCCACCCCCCAAAAAACATGTCTACCGTCCCATTCAACGAAATATAATTATATACTTTTTCCAGTGTCCGACCCATCCCCGAAAATTCTACCCCCGCCCCCGAAAATTTCAAGTACCCCAAACCCCTCTCCGGGGAGGAAAAAGTCTGAAAGAAACACTGGTGTCGCGCTTAGCCACTACCCGAAGAATTGCATTAAAGAAATTGCGAGAAAACCACTTTTTAGATTAGACACATTAATTAGGCGGTAATTTTATTATAGAGTATCGATGAAGAAATTTCTTTTGAGTTGGGGAGGGGGGGGGCTCAGACGTTCTTACGCGGGGGGTGGGGCTTCGCCCCTACCCGAAGAATTGTTTGTAAGAAACTCTTCACGCAAACCATTTAGATTAGACAAAATTTCATTTTTATTCAATGTTTACTCGAAAATCAATGACGTCATATTACTGTGTGCACTCTCCGACTGGAGATTATTTTCTACTCTATGCTAAATGTGACCGCGTCATATTTCGTTTTTTCGAATTACTGTGCATGTTTTTATTTTGCTTGTGTTTTCTCTACAGCGTTCTTGTCAGATATATAGATAGATAGACAGACAGTGAAACTATTATATAGACGAGAAAAATGGCCCGTTGAGGAAGGATACACCGGGCGCTAGGTTGATAGTGCTGTCTCTTTTCTTTAAACTAAAACCAACCCACCCCCCCCCCCACACACACACCACCCCCACCACCCCCCCACCCCACCCCCAGTGGTTTTCTTGCAATTTCTTTAATGCAATTCTTCGCGTAGTGGCTATGCGAGACACCAGTGTTTCTTTCAGACTTTTTCCTCCACGGAGAGGGGTGAGGGTACTTGAAATTTTCGGGGGCGGGGGTAGAATTTTCGGGGAGGGGGCGCACACTGGAAAAAGTATATAATTATATTTCGTTGAATGGGACGGTAGACATGTTTTTTTAGGGGGGGTGGGGGGGGGGGTGGGGGGGGGGGTGGTTTTAATTTAGACTTTTTCCTCCCCGGAGAGGGGTGGGGGTACTTGAAATTTTCGGTGGCGGGGGTAGAATTTTCGGGGAGGGGGCGGACACTGGAAAAAGTATATAATTATATTTCGTTGAATGGGACGGTAGACATGTTTTTTGGGGGGGGGGGGGGGGGGTGGTGTGTGTGGGGGGGTGGGGGGTGGGGGGTGGTGTGTGTGGGGGGTGGGGTGGTTTTAGTTTAGACGTTTTCCTCCCGGAGAGGGGTGGGGGTACTTGAAATTTTCGGGGGCGGGGGTAGAATTTTCGGGGAGGGGGCGGACACTGGAAAAAGTATATAATTATATTTCGTTGAATGGGACGGTATACATGTTTTTTGGGGTGTGGGGGGTGGGGGGGTGTGGGGGTGGGGGTGGGGGTGTTGTGTGTGTGGGTGGGGGGTGGTGTGTGTGGGGGTGTGGGGTGGGTGGGGGGTATGGGGGGGTGGGGGGTGGTTTTAGTTTAGAGAAAAGAGACAGCACTATCAGCCTAGCGCCCGGTGTATCCTTCCTAAACGGGCCATTTTTCTCGTTATAGATATAATAGTTTTCTGGCATAATTTGACCCTACCTCTACCATTTGACTACTCAAACTCAAAGTGGAGCAACATGTCTTTTTGTTGTATAGTAGTTTAGTAGTTTGAATATGCTTAAGCATGAACGTGAAATGCTGTTTGTAGAATAAAGTCTACCAATACAACTATCAGTGCAAAAAATTTAATTTTATTTATGGTCGAATGTGGGCTCCTTAAAGATGTATTCCCTTCCATACCCCGCCAAACGTCGCGGAATCTGATGGCATGGTAGTTCAGAACAACTGACAACTGAACTTTAAAACTGTAACAAAAGTAGTTTAGCCTGCAGCAAGGTCATTTAAGCGATTCTTGGGGCCCGAGACAACTTATTACTTGAGACTTAGCCTAGTCCCCCGTGTAATTGGACGAAACGCCACTGTAATTAAGTTACAACTAATGCCAATCTAGGCCCAATAATTGTACTGGACTGCTTTATTAACAAATCCCACCTTTTCACTGAAATTAACTCTATATCTACGGTAAACAATCAATATAAGAACTTAAACAAAAAATTAACCAGACAAATCACATTCAATTACAAAGCAAAGTTCTAGCCTTAAAAGCATTACATACCTTTGTTCTAGTCTGTTACTGCTGTCACTTAAAATATGCATACAGTGAACTGCAACCAAGGCTATAATCAGGAAAAGTCCAAAACCTGTCTGGGTAGTAGAGTTTGACTGATTAAATAGCTGGACTCAATAATGTCGAGTGGGGAGGCAAAGTAGGCAACTCTATGGGTGGGTTTAGCGGAGTAAATTGTGTTGGTGGGTTTAGTGGAGTGGTAAACTTATGGATTCTAGGACAAAAAATCACAGTAAAAAAAATTCACAGATATGTATTTGCATGGAATCTGTTTTTTTTAAGTGCATGATTAAAAGTAAGTTAAATATTTTTGGTATATGTGCAATTGGTTGTATTTGTATGGCAACCCATCTTAAAACAGTTAGTCTGACGTATTTAGGTTTAATTCCGTAACAGAATAGAATTAAGAAGAATGTTTTAACCTACTCAGTTTTCATCGTGTTTTTAAGATATAAATTTTGAGTCAGAGTAAAATGGGAAGAACACATTGTTAATATGATTTATTGTCCTCATTGCAACAATAGTCCAGCCACTTTTACTGCCCACATTTATTGCCCTCATTACATTAAAAGCATAGGATCAAGGTAAAAACCCGTTTTACAGTACAAAAACTGTCGTTGAAGCAAGACGTCAACAACACACAATGTGGACGGACTAGGCCGACAGGCAAAATCCATACGGCCACAAAAAAGCCACAAAAACAAAACGATCTTTAACAATAATTGTTTCTAATAATGTAATATGTATTTAAATAAAGTACGTAACGTTTGAGATGTAGATTATCATTTTTTACTTTCTCGTATATACGAAGTATGCCTATAGAGAAAATCTTGTAATCGTACAAAAAATAAACCGGGAGTGATCTCCCCTAAACTTTCTCGTATATACGAAGTATGTCTATAGAGACAATCTTGTAATCGTACAAAAAAAATCGAGATTTTTGCAAATTTCGACGTTTTGCAGCTCCCTGAGTAGGAAAAACATAGTTTTGCAATCTTGTCCGTATGTCTGTGTGTGTGCGTGGATGTGTGTCTGTAAACACGATAACTTGAGTACCGTAACAGCTAGGTTGATGAAATTTCATATAGAAATATTATATCAAAATCGTAGATCGGTATCAACTTTTGATCCGATAACCGGAAGTGGAACTTTTTCTACTTTGAATTTTTCAAAAGCCTAAAATTGAGTACTATTTCAGATAGATAAACGAAAGTTCCCATGTAAGTAAAAGATCTAATTCTCCGCCTTTTGTTAAATTTTGAGTAACTTCTGTTGACCGGTTGATCGGAAGGCGTAATTTTCGCTATTTCCGATTGCTCAAAAAAAAAAAAAACGCATCTAAATTTATAAAGTACTAATAATATTCCGCATTATTATGCACATTTTATTTGGCGTTCACTTAGTGTGCAATTCTTTTTTCTTCGAGATTTTATTCTATTTTAAAAAGTGTAAGTATTTAAAATGGATTAAAAATAATGTCTATATCCTGAGTTGCCATCCCGTGTTGTTTCATATAAGAATATTCGAGAAAGTTTAGGGGAGATCACTCCCGGTTTATTTGCATGGTTCTTACGCCATTGTATAAAATAAGTATTGACGATGGCGAATACGATTCTTTACAACTTGTTGCTTTTTAGAAAAGTGAGCTTTTTCTTAAATGGCAGTTGAAGCTTACTAGCAGTTGAAGCTTACTGATAGTTGGGATGTTTTTAATTTTAAATTGGAATTTATCTGCTGGTCTCATCTAGAGTGGACGTTTTATAAATCAATGATCCCCTGACTCAACTGATCCACCAATATCCTGGCCAACGAACACACCGCTCAGCATCATTCTGCTCGTCTAATGTCCGCTTTACTATTACAATCATGCACTTACCCATAATCCACTGTTTTTAAAGGCAAATGGTAAAGATAAAATTCCCGTGCCAGCTGTCCCCTTCAACAAATTCATCAAAGTTTGCATATTGCTGAAAATGGAAGAGTTTCGATTTTAACGAAAAATACTCATGTTAAATGTTAGGATATAAATAATAAATTTAAAATGGCGGAACAATTCAACGCTTCGGAAATTTACACTAGTGGCTCTTCATGCTGGGAGAGATGAGAAAGTCATTGATCCAAAAAATTTCATATTGTTAACTATAGTTCGTTAATTAAATTTCGGGATAAAGTGTAGCGTCAAGAGTGTAAAGAGTAAGTGAATTCAAGTGACAGAGAGCGCTTAACATTTTCATTGAGGAATACAACGAAATAAAGCTCCTCCGTCCTATACCGGGCCTCCACCTCCACCAGCATCTTTAGTAATTCTAGTTGGCTAATTTTCAAGGTCTTTACATTTTCTAACACCAGTTTATTTCTTTGCATTATGTTTTATTATGTCATACGACTATAAGGAAAGAAATTCCACGCTCTATTAATATACACACGCTGATTCTGCATTTTTTTCCTATTCGGTGCTTTTCTATTTTTAGAATGTAAGTATTTAAAAATTAATTTTTAAATTAATTTATTTGTGCCGTAAGTACCTGGAAAACACCAGATTCTCAGAAATGTTATATTAAAGGGTTGAAAATTGACGTGCTTAACTGCTCAATTGTTACCTATTAAAGGAACGTGATTTGTGTCAAGAATTAAATTTTAAATTCTCCACGTTCTTTGAATACACGTAAATATAAACAAAGAAAACATCTGGATAAAAGGGAAATTCGCTTAAAAGTTATGCTAAACTGTTTTCAAATAGTTGTGAAAGTAATTAATAATCTAGACTTCGCTTAAAATTGATACTAAACTGTTTTCAAATAGTTGTGAAAGTAATTAATAATCTAAACTTTATTTGGTTGCCGCCCCAGTGGGACCGCAACTGTTGGTATTATTTTTTTACTCGTTGGTGAGCATTGTTTCACTGTGTTTCCCATGTCATGTGACCTCTGTGTGTAGTTGTGAATGTGTCAACTGGCATTTGGCATGTGGGGGACCAGGACAGGATGCTGACATGGGCATAGAAATTGAAATTGAATTTCTAAGAAAGTCTGTGAAATTTTAGAGAAGTCAATGAAATTTTAGGGAAGTCGATGAAATTTTAGGGAAGTCTATGAAATTTTAAGGAAATCAATGAAATTTTAGGGAAGTGAATGAAATTTTAGGGAAGTCTATGTAATTTTAGGGAAATCTATGAAATTTTAGGGGTCTATGAAATTTTAGGGAAGTCTATGAAATTTTAAGGAAATCAATGAAATTTTAGGAAAGTGAATGAAATTTTAGGGAAGTCTATGTAATTTTAGGGAAATCTATGAAATTTTAGGGGTCTATGAAATTTTAGGGAAGTCTATAATATGACGTTCTGTTTGAACTCTAACCCAGTTGACTAAAGAATGCAGTAAACTACTTCTATTGCTCTTAATCCGCTAAACCCGTGGTATCTAGAATATTAACAACAACTACGTTATAATTTATTTTTATTACAAAATAAAACAGGTGATAAAATTATAACACCAGTCTCTTAAAATATGCGATTCCCACTAAATTTTAAAAACGCATATTTTGTCGTATTCAATTATTTGTGTTTTTCGCGCGTGTGTGTGGGAGGAGGTACAAGGCTAAACAATAATATTGAGGTGCTGTGGCCTAACAAGACGTTACGTTACACAATGAAGTAGGATGTGGTTAAAATAGGTGCGTGACATTACTCCCCTCAAATTAAATACTCCCCCCCCCCAAGTAATTTCACAAACGTCATTACGCCCAGATCAATTACCCTACCTCCCAGAACCTTACCCCAACTCAAATACAGCAGTAGAACATTACCTACCACCTGACAATTACCCGTCGGTTAGGGTAACGGTAACCGATCAGTAACGAAAGTAAAACTTCGGGTTATAACTTAAACTTGATGAAAATAAATAGAAATGTAGCTTTAAAAAACTCAAAAAAAATATTCAATTTCTCTCGATTTGCAACTTTTAAAACATTGGTTCTAAAAAAATGAAACTTCTAAATTGTTTTTAGTCTTAGGTTGTTTTATTTTTTTAAATATATTTTTACGGCCGCTTTGATTGCAAAAGCTAAAAAAGCACGTTTTTAATCCAGGTCAACAATATAATGGAAGGATTTTCGTCAACTCGGTGGTCTCCACGGCAAAGCGCAAAAATTGACGTAAACAGAGAAAATAAACCGGAGTGATCTCCCCTAAACTTTCTCAAATATTCTTATATGAAACAACACGGGATGGCAACTCGGGATATATACATGATTTTTAATCCATTTTAAACACTTAAAATTTTTAGAATAGAACAAAATCTCGTAGAAAAAAAGAATCGGACACCAAGTAAACGCTAAATAAAATGTGCATAATAGTGCGGAATATTATTAGAACTTTATAAATTCACATGCGTTTTTTGAGAAATCAGAAATAGCGAAAATTACGCCTTCCGGTCAATGGAAATGACTCAAAAGTTAACAAAAGGCGGAGAATTAGATCTTTTACTTACATGTAAACTTTAGTTTATCTATCTGAAATAGTACTCAATTTTAGGCTTTTGAAAAATTCAAAGTAGAAAAAGTTCCACTTCCGGTTATCGGATCAAAAGTTGATACCGATCTACGATTTTGATATAATATTTATATATGAAATTTCATCAACCTAGCTGTAACGGTAATCAAGTTATCGTGTTTACAGACACACATCCACGTACACACACACACACACACACACACACACAGATGGACAAGATTGCAAAATTATGTTTTTCCAACTCAGGAAACTTGCACGATTACAAGACTTTCTCTATACTTCGTATATACGAGAAAGTAAAAACATGGGAAATAAACCAGGAGTGATCTCCCTTAAATTTTCTCGAATATTCTTATATAACACTACGGGGGAAGACAACTCGGGATATAGACATGATTTTTAATCCATTTTTTATTACTTAAACTTTTAAAAATAGAATAAAATCTCGTAGAAAAAAAAAGAATTGCACAACAAGTGAATGGCAAACAATATTTAGACAATAGTGCGGACTATTATTAGTACTATATAAATTCATACATGTTTTTTGAGAAATAGAAAATAGCAAAATTAGTGCAAAACCCAGTTTTTCTGACTCGAATACGCATAAAACGTCGATATTTTAATAAATCTGGATTTAGAATTTTTGCCCGATTAAAATAAGTCACCTATACTCTGTGTGTGATGAAAACTGTCAAAATTTCATGTGATTTTTTTGCACGATTACAATACTTCCTCCATACTCTGTGTATGAGAAAGTAAAAAGCTGGAGCCGCCACTGAACGATTTCTACTTCTAAGATAGCTTAAAAAAAACTTACTTCAATCTGGATGAATCTTGTTTAGACTCCGCCATTTGATTTACATGAGATGTGTACTCCATATGTCACTATGGTGTGTACTCCATATGTCACTATGGTGTGTACTCCATATGTCACTATGGCGCTCACGAGTCACTCATACATAATTTAGTTAGTTTAAGCCCTCACTGTCGTGAATTTTTACCTTAACTTATCTCTCGTGAAGAACAGACAACCTTGCGAGCATTAGAGTTAATTTATTGAAAGTATGGAAAAGTACACCGTGATGATGACCTGATTTCCGAAGTAGATTTCTAAATTTATCGATTGTTTGACAGATGTTCATTGTTGACAGAAATATTAAGCCTACGTACGCATTAAATGGGGACACACCGCGTGCAGAATAAAACAAAATGATACAGGTCATGTTCCACGGGGTGAAAGTAAAACACAATGTTAGGCTAACTCTCAGTATACAATAGTAGGATACCTCTCAGTATACAATAGTAGGATACCTCTAAGTATACAATGGTAAGTTACCTCTAAGTACACAGCGGTAGGCTACCTCTAAGTACACAGCGGTAGGCTACCTCTCAGTATACAATGTTAGGTTAACTCTCAGTATACAATAGTAGGATACCTCTAAGTATACAATGACGGCTACCTCCAAGTACACAATGTGTAAGAGATTTTATGAGCTACTAATGCTTGTATTAAAGAAAGCAAGTTTTATTGATTAATTTTTATTTTCAGTCCATTTAAAAGCTTACAATTAAAAATGTTAGCTATTTGTTTAGTTTTCTACATGTTTACGTTTGTTCTTAATTAAATTGACATCACATACGACTAGAAATGTTTGCTTTAAAACCCAACACCTAGATGCGATCACTTGCAGAGGACTGAAAATGATATAGAAAAAAATTGTCACTGTACTGACGAGGGACTGACTGTCGCCAGAAGAGGTGAATGATTGATACTCATTTTTACAGGCTCCAACCATGTTCTTCAAGTATTACAAGTCATTTACCTCCACTCAGTAGCTCGACTCTGCACTACTGTGGGAGTCCTTTTCTTGGTCAATCTCTAGCAAGGGTGGCCGGGCTGTTACAGGTGTAGCAATGACCTCCGGAAGTTCTGGAACCGGTTTAAATTAGCCAGAGGTGGCTCACGGGCTTAGCAGGAGGGTTTGCCTGAACTTGTTTGCATTACTTGCAGCTATGTCGCCAGGTCACTGACCTGTTTATTTGGGGCAAGGACGAGTCCATCTAACTCTGTTATGTGACGTCAGCTGACTTGGCTTCATAGGTTGTTTTCTGCTTACCCCCGAACCAGTGGCGTAGCTACCGTAAAGCTAGCGTAAGCAAGGCATAGGGGTCCAACGCACATAGGGACTACTTAATTCAGCGGTCAAATTGCACAGGCGTATCAGCCGGTCGTGTAACCTGGTGCGCCCCTGGCTCCCCCATGAGCACTACATCTCCATCCACTAGGAATACGGAGGGCTACTAAAATCGATTACTAAATAGAATAAGGAGTGTCCTCTAGTGCATATGTAGTAGTAACGGTTGGCCGCCCCGAGTTATCCAGTGGCTACCTGAGTGCAAAGGATCCGTTGATTGTGCGTCCTGCAGAGTCACTGGTACTACTTGAATCAACTGTCAAATTGCAGCTGGGTTACACCAGGCTATCTATGGTAGTGTAACTGGTCACTCCGACGACGCTCTTGACACCTAAGCGGTCGAAGAAACGTATGCAACCTCAATATTACGGAGTATGATTAACGTAAACTCATTTCTTTCATACGGCACGCCCACGGGCGTCTGATCAATAGTGTGAATCATGCCCCCACAACAAGGATCCGGAAAAAATTGCAGTTTATATTTTTAAAATCTCAGTTTTAGAAAAAGAAGGTCACACGACTAAAAATACACAATTGGTAACGCGTTGATAAAAAAGCCTTACAAATTGTTTTGTTACCCTGGTATTTGGGATCACTGCGACGCGGACGGGTACGCTAGTTAGTTTAAACATTCTTTAACATTCCACGGGAAGGAGATTTTGATATCTATGATGATTTTTTTTAAATTTTATTAAGATGATCTTAATTTGTTATAAAGATATGCCCATTGTGTCTGTAGCTTGGCTATCCAAAGTATCGAACATACAGAAATAGTTAAAACAGATCATGAAAAACTCAGATCAAAATAAATCATGAGCAATTTTTTAAATAATTGTGTTTTGTTAGTTGGGTCACAAGGTCTGGTGTTCCCCTGATGCGTTTATTAAATGTGTCAACCCCATCGCCCTTGAATCTTGAAATTCTAAAGGGCAAAATGCCGAGAAAATTCGACGATTTGTCATGTATTCTCATCCTTTGAATAAGGCACTGAAGCGGGAGCAATTCAGTACACATGTCGTGGAGGACATGTTGCCGTAATTGTGGTGGTCTGAAAAACACGATGTGTCATTCGAATTTATTCAGGATATAGTGACCATGGCCCCGGTACCTGCATTTGGTGATTCAAATCGAGAAGTATCAATACAATGTAATACTAGCCAAAATGATTTTGACACTGTGCTAATACAGAAAGACGAACCGGTCAGCAACAATGGATCACAATCTGACAACTTCGTACAGTTTGACAGGGATTGGGACTTTGAACATTGTACCAGTATTCCACACTTCTTCAAGGTCCAACGTGAGGCTGAATATGCAGGCAAGTCAAAAAAAAAACACTGGTCGTTAAAAACAGTGAGGATCATCGTTGGGCGGTGCTACAACTCAACACGCCTGGTCGAACGGGTACAAGCCCCATGCAACCACTTGTCAACAGAGGCACAAGAAATCTGTTGACAGCGCCCCAAAACCTATTGAAGCCAACTGTGAGAAAGTGACTTAAGCAAAAGTTAAGACTAGCCCAGGCAAGATTCCAGAGACGGATCCAGTCAGTCCAGTGAGGAATAAGGAGAACATGATATGGTCGGGAAGTGGAGATGCCTCAAAATTCCAGGATTCATTTGTGTTATTTGTGAATATCAATGTTAAAGCTCTATGTAGACAATAATAATAATGTGCAATGATTTTAATTAGTACTTAGAGTTAGTTTGATAGCAATGTATCTATGTACATGTTTTTTTTTTGTCAAAAAGGGGGAGATAGATATAATAAAAAATATGTATGTGTTATATGTTAAGGCTAGTCTCAAGAGAAAAAGAGGGATTTTATATTATGTCTTAATAGTGATTGTTATGTATCATGTATTATTCATATCATGGTTACGTCCTTTGAGTGTTCATTTTGTCATCCGTGATGTGTAGTTGATGTGTACATGTAGTCAGTTAACGAAAGCTAGAGTCAGAGACAGGACGTGTCGTCTGTGTTTTGTGTATATAAGAATAAAGTACTACTAGAGTTAACTCAAAGAGCTGTGTCTATTTAAGTAATGTACCAAATAGTAAATCTTTTCAAGTTACAAAAACGATTTATTAAGTATTTCAAATTGTTTACAAACTGCTTCCCGAAAAATTATTATGTCTTTGTTTCTTTTCTTTCCCGCTTCTGTCTGTATTATAAAAGCGATCAGATGAGCAATTAGATTTTTCAGCCAAGTCTCGACGACTTAAACTATGCTTAAGAGACTCTTCACTTATATCTCCCATACAAAAAAAGAAGGTAAAATATATCAGTCATGTCGTAGATAGATGAGCCTTCATTGACCAACAGTTAAGTGCAAACGCCAACCTTAAGATAGGCGCCTTCATTAACCAACTGCAGGTAGGGTAAGCTACCGTCTCACGTAGGGGGCATGGAGATGATAACAAAAAGAGCGAATCGTCACTAAAAAAAATTTTTACAGGTTCTTTTGACTGTATTCATTGATCAATTTATGTTTAAACATTGATCAATTTATGTTTAAACATTGATCAATTTATGTTTAAACATTGATCAATTTATGTTTAAACATTGATCAATTTATGTTTAAACATTGATCAATTTATGTTTAAACATTGATCAATTTATGTTTAAACATTGATCAATTTATGTTTAAACATTGATCAATTTATGTTTAAACATTGATCAATTTATGTTTAAACATTGATCAATTTATGTTTAAACATTGATCAATTTATGTTTAAACATTGATCAATTTATGTTTAAACATTGATCAATTTATGTTTAAACATTGATCAATTTATGTTTAAACATTGATCAATTTATGTTTAAACATTGATCAATTTATGTTTAAACATTGATCAATTTATGTTTAAACATTGATCAATTTATGTTTAAACATTGATCAATTTATGTTTAAATTATCAAATGGTTTTCAGAATGTTTTATTCTTAACTAAATTGGCTATTATTATGTAATTTATCCAAATTTTTTGTACAAATGATACATTTTTGTTTAAGGATTTGCTGTTCTAATTTCATTTTTTAAAAGTTAAAATTATCTAAGTTTGAATATTAAAAAATCTTTGCTTACCTGCATTTGAGAACAGTGCGGTTTTCAGTGTACTCCAATATGGAATGTGTTGATTGCAAAGATTGCCGTGATGCCTCCTTATGTGATTCATAGTTTTCTTTCATGCATTTTGTTCTGTTTTTCGAAATTAGTGAAGTGCTAATATCTTCATTTAAATCATAATTTTGATTGTTTTCAGGAAATGGCGCCGATAAGACATTTGAAAACGCATTAGTCAAAGTATGCGTAACCCTGCTACACATTTCTTTCTCCTCACGCTGAACAAGTGGCATACTGAGTAGGTTTTTTCTGGAGGAGATCCGTCTTTCTGATGCGTTGGCCTTTTTAAAAAAAGAGTCAAGAGTATGCGAGAAAATTTAGCTTTTAATAAATGGGGGCAGCAATATATTTTAAAACAGATCCAAAAACCATTTAAGATAAGTATGTTACTAGATTCCTAGTATTCATGGGCACGTCCAAGTAATCGTTCATTTGCAAGACGAATCGGCGCATCTTGGAGACACATAACATTAATGATAAGAAATTTGTCTGTACATATTTCAAATGGTGGATTATGCATCTAAAATATTATTGAAGAACTTAACATCTAGCAGTGCCTGGCCAGCTAGTATAGGATAAGGCAAAGAAATAAACTGGTATTTTTTAAAGTATATTTACCTTGAGCCGACTTGACATTACGGGCGATGCTAGTGGATGTGTAGGCCTAGTGTTGCGTTCACTTATTTACTGTTAATGTTAAACTCTTTCTGTCACTTTAATTCACTAACTCGTTACACTCTTAACTTAACCGAACATAATTTATTCTAAATGTCACAATTTAATGTTTTGTTACTTTCGCTTAATTTTCGTCAATGCTTTTCTTTTCGCGGATCTTTACCAATTTTCCACGTTTCCTTCTGTCAAAGAAGGTTTTTTTTACCTACCTTTTTCAGAAAGTATAGGGAAAGAGTTAGGTAAGTCACTAAATGGCTTCGATGCATAATCAGCTGCAACATTTTTTCGGGTGTTTATTTTCCACGAACTGTTAAAATCCGGCAACTCATATCTCATATTTTGCTCGTATGTCAAAGCAAATTTTAGCTCGCTTGACAGCTCGCGTCTAAGAAAATCTCGTGTCTCGACGTACATATGTATCTATCTATCTATCTATCTATCTATCTATCTATCTATCTATCTATCTATCTATCTATCTATCTTTCTATATATATATATATATATATATATATATATGTGTAACACTGCCTCAATGGGGATGCTTATTACAGAGGCGTAGCGACCCTTCCCGGCGCCAGGGGACAAACTTTTCGATTTGCACCCCCCCCCCCCCCCCGAACGAAATGAAATTTATATAATTTAGATAGAAAATATATACTTTTAACAGTGTCCGCCTCCTCCCCCCCCCCCCCCAAGAAAGTCTACCGCCCCCCCCCCCCGAAAATTTCTAGTGCCCCCCCCACCCCCCCCCCCCCCCGGAGAAAAAAGTCTGGAAGAAACACTGCCCCCTCAACCTTTCAATTTATTTTTCCAACCCATTTTGGCGCCCCCTAAGGTCGGCGCCCGGGGACATATGTCCCCCCCCCCCGCTACGCTACTGGCTTATTACCCATTGAGGTGTTGTGTTTAAAAGGGCTGACCCTGAGATATAGCACACAATGGAACGACGTTGTTGTTTTCAACTACTGGATTTATTGACATTAACATCTAAGCCAACCGGCTATGTAGACAGTAGAAACTTAGAACACAGTAGAAAGATTGTAGAAAACACTGTAGAAAGATTGTAGAAAACACTGTAGAAAGATTGTAGAAAACACTGTAGAAAGATTGTAGAAAACACAGTAGAAAGATTGTAGAAAACACTGTAGAAAACACTGTAGAAAACAAACTGTAGCCATTCATTAGGTCTACATGATCTACTTATCATAGACAACGGCACTGTCGAAGGTATGAACCACCCAGAGTCCCAGAGGTCACATGAAATGGGGGGACAAGGGTAAAAATCGCTCACCGAAGAACAATTATATATATATATATATATAATATATATAAAGCTCAATTCTGATTGTAACATGTAATAAGTTTGTCGTGGACATACTTGGATGGATTTAAGTGTTAGATTATTATCGTGCTCATAGTCTAAATTTATGAGTTAAAAAATAAATTACTATTGAAAGTGTTGGGAAATAATTTTCATTTTTCAAACTGATAGTAATAATTGTCGGCATGTTCATTAAACACATTTTTTTTAAAAAATATCATCTTTTACAAAAATTCTAATTATGTCTGAAAATTATTTATATTTAGTCCTTTAGCACTTACTTCCCTTTGATAAATTAGGAAAACACAATTACTTCCCTTTATAAAACATTGCATTAGTGGAAAAGAATTTACTTTTTATTACTTTGTTTTGGTGTTAGGAAAAAAATAATTACATAATTAGCGGGGATTGATCAAGTGCAAATGTTGTAGGTATTTTACGGTTAAGCTTGGAGTATTATAACTGTTCATTAAATTGAAACAGTCGCGTCCGCTGGCGCCCCACCAGGGTTCAATTTGGCGCTCTGGGCTATCCTGTGAGCGCTATGGTGCATAATTTCGCTTTAAACAGTGCGATAGAGTATGGATAAGAAAGGTTACTATAATCTTTAAGTGAATCGAATCCGGGCGTCCTCTGGTGCCCAGACAGGGTGCTATTTTGGGCCCCGGGCCTCCCGTGTTCGGTTTGGCGCCTACGTTCGTTTAAGTGAGTGCAAAAGACTATGAATAAGTTGGGGTACTAAAGTCGTTTATTAAGCTGAAACAGGCGATTCCGCCCCGGGCTAGACTGTGAGCACTTTGCGTTTATGTACGCGTTAGTGTTTTCTTTGGGTTTAGGTTGGGTTTGCGTTAGTGGTTGCGTTTTGGTTCGTTTTTGTTCTTTCTTTTTTCGTTTTCGTTTTTGTTTTTTCTTTGGGTTTGTATTTGTGTTTGTGGTTGGTTTTGCGTTTGGATTTGGTTTGTTTTCGTTTTTTGTGTTCGTATTGGTGTTTGTGGTTGGGTTTGTTGTTAGGTTTTTGTTTTCTTTTGTATTTGTAATTGTGTTACCGTTATGTTTGCGTTTTGTTGTTTAGGTTTTGGTTGGTTGTGGTTTGGGTGGGCAATGCCGGGTTTATGATGATTAATAAACACACAGGTAATGATCTTTAACAGAAAGGTTTTCACAGAAGCCAGAGCAGGGCTGGGACGGCTAGTATATATATATATATATATATATATATATATATATATATATATATATATATATATATATATATATATATGTGTGTGTGTGTGTGTGTTTGTAACACTGCCTCAGTAGGGATGATATCACCCACTGAGGTGTAGTGTTTAAAAGGGCTGACCCTGAGAGATAATACACAACGAAATGACGTTTTTGTTGTTAGATCTTGGCTTCATTGCAAATCCGTATACGGCTAATACATGAATGTCAAAGCCATAAACGGCAAATTGCCCTAAAACAAATATAAACAACAATAGGTTACATCTCTGAAGATACTATCACATGTAGGCTAACATAAATACTCGGGTGTCATAAAATAGGTTACGCCAGTATTCAATACTGCCTACAAATATTATAATGAAACCTACTTAACCTAACTAGACCGCAACATGCAGCACTAGTATGATAAAAACAGTAATATAAAATATAATGTACAATACCTTCATTAGGTTTACATAACCATTTTAACCTAAGCAACTGCACCATCCATGTCCTTAGCAGCCTGGGGTTTGAATGACACGGACACAGGCACAACTACCCAGAGTCCCAGATGTCACATGATATGGGAACACGGGGAACAGCGCTCACAGATGAGCATAAAAAATACATTAACAATTTCAGTACAGTAGTAGTGACATAGTCCTAACGTCTCAAATATTATTCCATTTAAAATGGTAGAGGCTCCAGTGTTGGCTCTGGTCACCACTTGATGGGCCAGTGTTGGCCCTGGTCACCACTTGATGTGCTAGTGTTGGCTCTGGTCACCACTTGATGGGCCAGTGTTGGCCCTGGTCACCACTTGATGTGCTAGTGTTGGCATCGGTCACCACTTGATGTGGTAGTGTTGGCATTGGTCACCACTTGATGTGCTAGTTTTGGCCCTGGTCACCACTTGATGGGCTAGTGTTGTCATTGGTCACCACTTGATGTGCTAGTGTTGGCATTGGTCACCACTTGATGTGCTAGTTTTGGCCCTGGTCACCACTTGATGTACTAGTGTTGGCATTGATCACCACTTGATGTGCTAGTTTTGGCCCTGGTCACCACTTGATGTGCTAGTGTTGGCCCTGGTCACCACTTGATGGGCCAGTGTTGGCATTGGTCACCACTTGATGTGCTAGTGTTGGCCCTGGTCACCACTTGATGTGCTAGTTTTGGCCCTGGTCACCACTTGATGGGCCAGTGTTGGCATTGGTCACCACTTGATGTGTTAGTGTTGGCCCTGGTCACCACTTGATGTGCTAGTTTTGGCCCTGGTCACCACTTGATGTACTAGTGTTGGCATTGATCACCACTTGATGTGCTAGTTTTGGCCCTGGTCACCACTTGATGTGCTAGTGTTGGCCCTGGTCACCACTTGATGGGCCAGTGTTGGCATTGGTCACCACTTGATGTGCTAGTTTTGGCCCTGGTCACCACTTGATGTGCTAGTTTTGGCCCTGGTCACCACTTGATGTGCTAGTGTTGGCATTGGTCACCACTTGATGTGCTAGTTTTGGCCCTGGTCACCACTTGATGTGCTAGTGTTGGCATTGGTAACCACTTGATGGGCCAGTGTTGGCCATAAAGGTTTTTTAAACATTGCAATGCATAGTAATGGTTATTTTTAGAATGGCAAACTGATGCAGCTGTTAATACGTGTTGTAAACGTAGACACTACTAGACTAGTACAAAAATGCTTAATTGCTGCATGAATAGAAATCTTGTGATTTACATAGATGTGCCGACCAAAAATATTTGTTTCACAAATATCATTGTTTAAAACTTTGAGTTTAAAAAGTTTCCAAAAAGGCGCCACTTTGCTGAAAATGGCCAGAGGGGGAGCGGCCGCTCCCCCTGCTCCCCCCCCCCTGCGTACGCTACTGACCCTAACCCGGGGGGCACTTGAAATTTTCGGGGGGGGGGCGGTAGACTTTCTTCGGGGGGGGGGGGGGGGGGGCGGACACTGTTAAAAATAAAAGTATATATTTTCTATATAAATTATATAAATTTCATTTCGTTTCGGGGGGGGGGGGGGGGGCGGTAGATTTTTTTCGGCCGAAGAGATGCCTGGAAGAAACTCTGCTGAGGTGTGACGTCATTTTAGTGGGTTCTGGCTTTTTGTGACGTGTGACGCAGGGGTGGGGGGGGGAGGTAAAAATCGTCAAAAAAAGCTTGGCGTCATTTATGGATAACCCCTTACAAGACAAAGACTGCGCAAACGTTCTATCCTACATAAACGTCACATTCTTGCTTAACGCATCATAACATACACACAAGATTGCAAAATTATGTTTTTTCCGACTAAGGGAGGTGTAAAACGTCGAGATTTGCAAAAATCTCGATTTTTTTTTTTGCACGATTACAATACTTCCTCTATACGAGAAAGTAAAAAAAAAAACAAGTATAGGATGGGCTGCATTGTGTCCCTTAGAAATGGCAAACTGTCAGCGTGTCCTCTGGCGCTCACATTGTCATGTGACCCAAAGTATGCAGGGCTCCTTGTCACTATCAACACTTAGGAACCTTTATTTAATTTGATGAGTGACTTACATCTGTTTTTAACAAGTGGCGTAGCGAGGTCGGGTGTCACCCGGTGCGGCACTTAATGGTGTCGCCCCCCAGAGGCGTAGCGACCCTTCCTGGGGACAAACTTTCAATTTTCGATTTGCACCCCCCCCCCCCTCAAATATTTCTCTATATATTTTTACTATTTTTTGCCTTGGTGTCACCCCCCTAAATGGTGTCACCCGGTGCGGTCTGCACCCCCTCCGCTACGCCTCTGTTTTTAATGCAATATGCATCTCTTATTGCAACAGTGAAAGCGATAAGGGCGGACAAAAAAATTAGGTCAGAAATCTAAAAATATATCATTGGTAACAGTTGAATGTTTCCATACCTAGTGTCATAAATTCATCTCAGATGGCAGAAAAGCACTACACTACACTTACAGGTATGCTAGTGAATAATAAAGATTGATTCAAAGTAAAAATAAACTGCTTCAGGCTTGAAATTGTTTTACTAATTATGGTTCTTTGGGTTGCAAATTAACCACTTTTCCCAATGTATATTATATGAATATTTAAAATTAATAATAATTTTTAATACAAATGATGCAGTGTAAATGTAAATTGAATGATATCATGAGTTTCCTTGAAATGAATTTCCTTTCCTCTGATATCACATCATTACCTTTTGTATTCAGACATTTACTATTACAGTGTGTTTTGCTTTTGCAATGTCCATGAACAAAGCACTAGGACAGTAATTGCTAGCGGATTCTTCTTCTTCTTCGTTCTTAATTATTAGTGTTGAAGGGGATCGAGATTTATCTGCTTTTGCCGACTCGACCACACCTCCAACACAATTAAGCATTACGTGTCGACTGGTTATGGGCCATTAAGGCCATTGACTCCGATTTCAGCCTGCTTTTCTTTTTGGATTTGCTTCCATAGCCTTTGTCCAACCAAGAACAATCTATAAGGCAGCAGTTGTTTTAATTTTGGAGTTGTCTCTCCTAGAAGAGTGGCTGTCCCCAGCTAACGAGCCTCATCTGCCCGAGGGTTCGAACTCGAGACTTTTTCGGTTTTGCAACCATGAGCTTTACCGACTCGACCACGCCGACCCCGCTAGCGGATTCAAATCTGTTTATATATCTCAAACAGTAAAAACAGTTATGTTTAACATGAGCGCTTATTTCAAAACTTTTCAACACCCTAAAAGTGTCATTTTTGAAAGATTAAATCTGTAAATGTAGTTCAAGTAAGTACACATGCACATATGCTATGCACATGCACACATAATCTCCATAATCTCAATACATATACATAAAGAGTTGACTTAATTTTTGAAGACTAAAAAAATCATTATTAAATATTTATGTGGTTCTCACATGTTAATGAAATGATCAAGGGAAATAAATTGCTCTAAAAACCACAGACACACAAATTTCATTGAACAGGGGTTAGCTTGAGCCAATTGCGAATGATGTTTGTTTCTTCAAGTCTGGCATTAATGACTGCACGTGTATCCAGGGGGTGTTTGCCTCTAAGGTCAAGGTGATGTCCTCCTTCTGGAATTTGTATGGCGATCAGGGAGTCTGAAAGTGTCTGCATCACACCTCCACTTGACCACGGGTCATAAAGTCCATTGCTGTGGGTGGTTTTATTTATTTTTTAAAAATTGTATTATAACATTAAAAAGGAGTTAATTATAAGATACGGCAACAGATCTAGGTGAATAGAACTAGAAATCTTTCCTAGAGGACTCAAAAAGAAATGGCGGGAATATAACATCAAAGACTGATGGGTAGGTTAAGACTGGGTGAGATGTGGGAGGGATCTAAGTTCTAGGGAATCAGGATGTTTTAATTGTCCCAATGTGTTGCTAGTCAGTTGAGTGTATCTTACAACGTTTAGTAACTCTACTTTAAAGAATACAATACCCGAAAAGTTGATTCAGACATTTGTTTTGGCTCATCCAATTCATATAGCACACAATTGCATTATCAAGTGAAGCCACCTTCTTCCAAATATTAATATATATGTCTCCCTTACCCCGCCCAATTCTAGATCAGCATATATGTGAATACAATTTAATAAAGAAGCTAGCTTTAAGGTATGTGTAATTAACTATAAGACAGGCAGAAAGTTTTTTATTATCTCAGTTTTATATTTTATTTATATTTTTTGGGTCACCTTTGAGCCATTTTAGAACAAAAGATTATCAAGTTAAATAGAAATTACCTGAAAATTATATTAGTTGCCGTCTTCAATTCTTTAGCCCAGTACTCTAAAGCTACCCAGTTTTCTCGTGGACGGACTTTGAATTGGCTATAACAGTTATCGCTCACTTGTTGGAGGTCCCATGGAATATTACAAAACATGTTTGTTCCATTGCTACATATAGGCATCACCATTTCAGTACATCTCTAGGATACAATACCAAATAGGTGGTAGTAAGAACAGTTGGAAACATCAAAACAATTTCTCGATTGATCAATGCTTCCTCTTAATTTTATGCAATGCTACATTTTCTTAGCTATGAAAACATTCACTTAACACTCCAAACATTTTATATTTGATAAATAAAAGTTTCATGGTTGTTAAAGTCTGGGGTTTGAGTGGGGATAAACTCCTGCTGTTGATAAATAAAAGTTTCATGGTTGTTAAAGTCTGGGGTTTGAGTGGGGATAAACTCCTGCTGTTGATAAATAAAAGTTTCAAGGTTGTTAAAGTCTGGGGTTTGAGTGGGGATAAACTCCTGCTGTTGATAAATAAAAGTTTCAAGGTTGTTAAAGTCTGGGGTTTGAGTGGGGATAAACTCCTGCTGTTGATAAATAAAAGTTTCAAGGTTGTTAAAGTCTGGGTTTTGAGTGGGGATAAACTCCTGCTGTTGATAAATAAAAGTTTCAAGGTTGTTAAAGTCTGGGTTTTGAGTGGGGATAAACTCCTGCTGTTGATAAATAAAAGTTTCAAGGTTGTTAAAGTCTGGGGTTTGAGTGGGGATAAACTCCTGCTGTTGATAAATAAAAGTTTCAAGGTTGTTAAAGTCTGGGTTTTGAGTGGGGATAAACTCCTGCTGTTGATAAATAAAAGTTTCATGCTTCAAAGCAGCTAAAACAACATGGGAGGCAACTGTCATGAGTTAATGTCCTAAATGATTGGGTTATAAGTCCTACACGATTGGGTTATAAGTCCTACATGATTGGGTTATAAGTCCTACACGATTGGGTTATAAGTCCTACATGATTGGGTTATAAGTCCTACATGATTGGGTTATAAGTCCTACATGATTGGGTTATAAGTCCTACATGATTGACGTAAAGATGGACGCCACAGATTGCTACACTCTGTGAGAGAAGTCCTCACACCTAATTGGTCAGCTACCACACATCCTTAATCTGGGCAGCCCCAGACAATAAGGTCCCACATTCTGCCTGCTCTAAGGGGTGATTTCAGACAAAATTAATGAACAGACTGAAAAACTGCACCAACAAATAATAAGCATAATAAATATGACTGTCACCCTCACAGTCGAAGACAAAATGGTAATATATTTTTTTTACTTTGTATTGATGCTGTCAAGAAGAAGCCTTGAAAGAAACTTTGTACACATGTTCTGTACACATGTTCTGTACACATGTTCTGTACACATGTTCTGTACACATGTTCTGTACACATGTTCTGTGGGGTGAAAATACAGGACCTATTCTACAACACATACCCTTATAGTAGGTCTAAGACATCAGAAAATACAGGACTTATCCTATAACATATGCCTTATAGTAGGTCTAAGACATCAGAAAATACAGGACCTATCCTACAACACATGCCCTTTATATAAAACAAATTGTGGTATAGAATCTGACCCAGAATGGTTGAATACAGATGTAAAATTGAGTGGTGGATCTAGGAGGACTTAATATGATTGTTGAATTTAAACGATAGAAGAAAAGTGCACCAAGTTTTTATGATTAAAAAGTCATCATTCCAACTAGATAATTTGATAAAATTTATAAAGTTTAAACCTGATACTGCCAGCCTTTGTATCCCAGCGATCCTGTGCTATCAGTACTTGTCCAGTTGACACATTTTGTGCTGCCTGTGTAGTTGAAGTAAAGGTTGCTCACCTTGGACAATGCTACAAGCAGTGGTTTCCCTTGCAATGGTTCATTGAGAAAACTGCAGGCCACCTACAGAAAAAAGTTTTATGCAACTAACAAAATGATTCATTGAGAAAACTGCATGCCACCTACAGAAAAAAGTTTTATGCAACTAACAAAATGATTCATTGAGACAACTGCAGGCCACCTACAGAAAAAAGTTTTATGCAACTAACAAAATGATTCATTGAGAAAACTGCAGGCCACTAGTCAGATGGGCTATCAGCTCTTCTACAACCTTTTGTAGTTCAGAACTTGCGGTCACATTTAGCAAGTGATTTGCAGGTGCTTTTCATTACAATAACTTTATCAGGATACAAGGGTACATTGACATACAAGTGCCCTGCACGAGATTTTTGAGATACAAGCAGTCGAAAGAGAAATTTTTGCATTAAATTATGAGCAAAACTGAGGTACGAGTAACGGGATCCGCAGGGTTTACAGTTCATGGCAAATCACACTTGAAAAAGTTGCAGCACAATATGCACTGTAGCTATTTAATGGCTTTGCCTAAATAATATGCGTAACATTCTCAAAGGGAGGAAGAATCAAATCACCTTCACAGATTTTGTTTTTAATGACCTTCACATAAAAATGAGTAAAGTATGTGAAAAAGGCAGAGACTACTGAAGAGAAAAGCAGGCACAAAAATGAAGCAAATTATCAAGTGGCATTTAAGTTCAACTCCATTCAATGAATTTTAATGAAGTAGGACTTATAACCCAATCATGTGGGACTTTTCTTTAATGAAAGTCTCAGATTTCCTCAAGGCAAGCTGGAACGGATTAATGGCATTTGATGTCATTTCAATGGAAAAACTGCTTTGAGTTATGAACCAATTGACATATGTGCAATGTTACAGAACGAATTAAACTCGTATCTCAAGGTACTACTGTAAATATTCTTGAAAACATTAAGGGCATGGGCTGTACCAACTTCCTTATTTCTGAGTCTAAAGATATAATACTTGGCTAATAGTTAAAACTCAAAGGGTTAAGCATAAAAATATTTTTAAATTTTTTAAATCCTCCATTGCCATGGTGATGTTGGCCATATTGGATTTTATTGAAGATTTTTAAATGGAAATTATTCAAAAACAGTTTGTACAAATTTCATGAAAACTTAATATAGTCTGGAGACACGTGTTTAAGACTTCTGATAGATTACATTTTCAAAAATGAAGATACTTTTTTTTTTTTATTTTTTTTTCCTTACATCACTGTAAAAATTTCATTATTTCGTCCAATTTGTTGTCTATTTCAACAATAAAAAAAATATATATATTTCCAAAAGTGTTCTATCAGTTTTATTTGAACATATATACAGCGTAACTAGAGCAAATTTAGTTCAGTTCTGATAATTATTAACAAAACTATTTTAACAATTGTACAAAAAAAACAACATCAAACTGAGAAAAACGCAAAAAAAAAACAACAAAAAGTTGCAAAAAAAGAAAATTTACAGCTGTATGTCACTAAAATTGACCACATAGCCAGAAGTATGGTGCTACTGAATGAATTCCTTCAGAGCTTGTTCAGCTGCTGTTTCTTTTTTCTGGTGCTCTTTACTTTTACCTAAAGCTGTTTCAGGCTGTTGTCAAGGCCTCTTCTTTGGCGTCCTTCACTTAGTCTTCGACTATGGTTTCCTTCTTTTGACAGTAGTGCCATAGAATGAATGGGCCAAAAATTGAATACTGCTATCGCAGAAATAGCAGCATATTTTGTATCGTCTCATGTCTATAGCCAATGATGCTAAGACGATGTCTGTTTATTGTAAATGGCCTTGTTCTGGATTCTTTTGCAGTTGTATACTTACTGTTTACAACATTTTTACAACTGCTACACCATGCTTTAAGCAAACCCTTTACACTTTTTTCATCAATAGTAGCCACTATATCACAGTTACACTCTGGCAAGGAAATTTACTGATAAAATCAAGAAGCAAATCACTGTCAACAATAATTCTGCATGTCTGTGGTTTACAATTAGCACTACCAGTACTAGATGTAGCATTGCTTTCTTCTGTCTGTAAAAACTGAGTCTTACATTTCCACAGTTTCTTAGTAAATGTGCATATTGCATCTGCATTAGTGCTTGTCTAAATAGTGCTAGATTGAGTAAGGTAGCTGCAATCAGTTGCATTCAGAAGTGACTTGCTATAGACTTTACTTAGATGTGTGAATCTATTTTTAGCGAGTGTTTGGTTCTACCCATAATCGAAAAAGAAACAAATTTAACCCTCTCACTGTTTATGATATCTCACACAAATTAATCTAAACTGTAAATAGTATATTTAATTGAAATAATATGTTAAAATAATGTATGTATTTCACAGAAACTTAGAGAAACAAAATTAAACCAGGCCAAACTTCGCAACGCGCTGAAACACAAAGGGAATGTTTATTTCCGAAGCGAAACGACCAATCGCTAACTAGCTTCCGCCATTGAATGCCAATGAAAACATTGAGGTCAAAGATTTGCGTACCAGAAAAATCCGACTGAGTAAAATAAACAACTTTATGACGTAGACAAATAATCACATTAAAATAAGTATTTTGATTGGTCCTTTAATTTTAGAACAAATAAAAAAAGGTCACTGCCTTTCCATTGAATGATATGAAACACAGTAGGCTTCCGCGAAGCCTAATAGTATTTTTCTAGGTCAAAAAATGGCTATTTTTACCAAAAAAAAATTAAACAAATGACGCTGTACACATTACTTTGAACCAGGTTTTTCATAAATAAATAATGCTTTTAGGGTCATAACAATGTCATTTTTTTATTCAACGATGGTTATTCTGTATAGATCAAGTAAAAGTGGGAACAAATTTGGTGGATTTATGAGGAAAAGTACACCCGCCATGCCCTTAAATCAGTACCTTAACAGGCCAAGCAGGCAACTGGGCCAAGAAATCAGCAGGATATGGATAGTTGACCATTGCAAAGTTGACATACATATCATTTAGAAATTCCACAAAAGGAATAAGATCATACTTGGACTTGAGGGGTGTACAAAGGCCAAATGTGCTCGTGATGAAATCATAACCTCCTACTGAAAAATGAAAATAGTAGTTTATAAAACTAAAAAATATATTAGGACGATTTCTTGAAATAAATTTTAATGTGTTTGATAAACTACTAACCCGAAGAAGCAATCATATCTATCGTGTTGTAGGATTGATGAATGTTGTCTACACAAGTTGCAGAGGCCTGTAGCCAAGTTGCGCTAGTTGTGTCATAAAAAGCATTGCAAGGTGTCATGTTGGTGAACTGCCAAATTGGAGCTGATGCAGCAAGCGCACTGTCAAATTATGAACATTCATTGGACATTTAATGCAACAGGTGTTGGTGTTAGAGTTAGGTCCCCAGCTTTTAGTGTAAGAGTTAGGTCCCCTGCTTTCTATGTAGAGTTAGGTCCCCTGCTTTCTGTGTAGAGTTAGGTCCCCTGCTTTCTGTGTAGAGTTAGGTCCCCAATTGGTAGTGTTCAAACTCAAACTTTAAAAAAATATCTATTCCTTCACCAACTTGAATTTTTGTTTATTTTAATATATTGACATCTGATGTTGAGTGGAGATTTACAAGGAACCCTAAATTTTACATCACATTTTGCATGGGAATGTATAATGGATACTCACATAACTTTGTTTAGAACAATGAAGGATTTTTTGTCAAATGGTGTATAATTGTTGAAGGGGGTATAAATGTAGATGTATAAACTTTTTACTACCTTGTTTACAAATTATACAAGAAGTGTTATCATGCCAAAAATAGAAACTCCATATGTCTTAGTGAAAAAAACATTGCCTGTCTGCGTGTGTTAACACAATCACTAGTAAACACTATTTTAGTTCAATTGAAGTCATTTCTTATATGAGTATTAGGTCCTATATTAAGGTATCTTAGTTCAATTAAAGTCATTTCTTATATGAGTATTAGGTCCTATACTAAGGTCCTAAGTTCAATTGAAGTCATTTCTTATATGAGTATTAGGTCGTATACTAAGGTATCTTAGTTCAATTGAAGTCATTTCTTATATGAGTATTAGGTCCTATACTAAGGTATCTTAGTTCAATTGAAGTCATTTCTTATATGAGTATTAGGTCCTATACTAAGGTATCTTAGTTCAATTGAAGTCATTTCTTATATGAGTATTAGGTCCTATACTAAGGTATCTTAGTTCAATTGAAGTCATTTCTTATATGAGTATTAGGTCCTATACTAAGGTATCTTAGTTCAATTGAAGTCATTTCTTATATGAGTATTAGGTCCTATACTAAGGTATCTATCAACTTGTGAGCAACGTCTGGCAACTTTATTTCATGGATGCTACTATCATACCTCCAGACACAAATAAATGCATTGCATAATTTTTTATTTAATTTTTAAAAATGGGTTTTTAGTGGAGCACATTTTAAACCTGAACAGCCAGTTCAATTATGAACAATATTGGTCCATATGCCAGAGACATCCATGATTAAATCTTGAAATTTAAGTTTGCTAATGTTAAGTGACAAAACACTTTTTTTTAAATCTATTCTTAACCTGCCGTTATTGTTACAATCATTTTGGTCTCAGCAAATTTAAAAAACAATTGTTTCTCTTAATTACTATTTAAATAATGTAATCTAAAGAATGATATAGATATAAAATAAATATTGTCAAAGTTAAGATTATAAATACTAAAAAACAGCGATAAAACGAACACTGGAAACCATAACATATAATATATCCATATCCATATTTTCCATATTTTATATACTATTGACCGGCTTACTAGATTGAAATACTATTTCAGCAGACATGAATACTTAAAACATGTTTATTTCAGATTCATTGATTTGTTATCGCCTAATGGATAACCCTTGCAATTAAATAAGGTAAATTACTAAATTAGGAAATAGGTTAATTTCAAATTAAGTGAGATAGTTTAATATGTATTATTATGAATGTTCTGAGTATAGAGTGGTGCGAGTTAATATTGGTGCACATGTATGTTGAACGAATGAAGATGTGACACAATGGTGAGATAGTGACTTAGAAGATGGAAAGAACGTTGTTGCTATAGGATGAAAGCAAGGAGTTAGAGGCTAGGTATTGAAGAAGTAGGTTTGGGTTATGCTGATATTAGCAATGTTGAAAAAAGACTAAAGTAGGAAGATTTAGTTTTCTCTTCAATATATCGTCATGTCTGTGACCAAGTGCTGACTTATAGGTTAGCGGATATTGGTAGAGGTAATTGGTATTAAGTAGGTTTAACCCTCTCACAGCGAACCCCAACAATAAATATATATATATATATATATATATATATATATATATATATATATATATATATATATATATATATATACACACAACTTTTACCCTAGCCCAAAAATATTTATTGCGGGGGAGCCTTTTTCTCTAGTGCCATCACTACTTTATTTCTAATTTCTCAAAAAACTTTTAGAATTGGACTATTTTATGTCATAATATCTAAATGCATCTATGTTTTCCATTTTCCATAAAAGATTTACATTCTTACCAAACTACCATGTTGGGATATTTTATCCTAAGCCATAAAATGTTGGCACCATACAAGAATCACATTCTTACCCAACTACCACGTTGGGATATTTTATCCTAAGCCATGCAGCTAGCATGCCACCATAAGAACCACCGAATGCAACAACTGAGCTATTGGCAGCGCCTGGAAGATTTGTCTTCAAGTAATTGATCAGTTCAACGAAATCTGCCAAAGCCTGCTCAGATGTTAAGTAGTTCAAATTGGAAACATTCTGAAATATAACATTAATCCTAATTAGGGGGAGTGTGTGGACATGACACCACTCAGAAAATGTTTCATTTTCTTCAAATTGAAATTTTAAACTCCTGACAAAAAAAATTGAGGTGGCAATTAAGCTGTTACAGCAGCAAAAGCAAATTAAAATTTTATTGCTTAATTTATAATGCATGCAATTAAGCTTAATCCCACTTTATGAGATAATTAAAGTGAAGCCCTGTTAAAAAATAACAACAGCATTAAAAATTCACCTGGTAAGTTTCTGGTCCGAAGGGTAATGACTCTCCATAATAGCGATGCTCTGCAAACACAAGTAATGCCTTAAAGTCAGCAGCAATGTCCCACATAAATCCCTGAAATTTAAAGATTTAGCTATGCAGGAATTCCTCAATTCATATATTATAGCTGGTAAGACATACAATTATGTTTATAATAGTAAGTCATTTCTGTTTAACACTAACCAAAACCTAAAGACAAATCCTGATCAAAAGATACAACACTTGGTAAAACACAAAACATACTATTAGAAATCCCTAACCTTTAGTGAAACCCAATCTAAAAGAATTGAACAGATACATTTTACATAAATCCACTGTCACAAATTTAATACTTAAACAAGACATTATTTCATCCAACAAGTTTTTAAAAGCATTATCTAATGTTATAATTTCTTACTGTATTACAAACAACCATTATTGAACTTTGAACACACACTATATCATTTCTTACTGTATTGTTACAGAACCAGTCTATGTCTCCTTCATTTCCAGTATAAAAAAATATGGGTCCGTTATTTCTGTTCCAAAACTGATCAGCTAGAAGATATCTTTGTTTAAATTTCTGCATAGTGGCAAATCCTAAATGATCAAGCTGCAACAATTTCAGTTTTAATTTTTAATATAGAAAAAATTGAAATTAAAAACACAAATTCTGAGAGGATAAACAGATGTATCAACTACAGATAATTGTATTTTTATGCTATACAAATTATTGGATCAGTCTCTAAAAGTATCTTGTCCTAGTGTGTAGGATACACTTCCATTTCCGTGATTTACAATTAATTTACTTCCATTCTAGTGATAATAGAAACAGTAACTTTTCCATAATTATTTGATGATTATTTAGGGAGTTATCTGACTTCACTTTATAAATCTTTGTATTTGTGGCTCACTAATAATGCAAATATATGTACAGTTCAACGCAAAATTTTAGATGAATTTATGTAAACAATTTTACAATTAAAAAATAAAACAGACTAAGAGAATATATATATATATATATATAAAGATATATATATATAAAGATATATATATATATATATATATATATATATATATATATATATATATATATATATATATATATATAAAGCAAAATAAATAAAAAAATAATATATATATATATATATAGCTCAATTCTGTATGTGGCGGACTATGTGTAATATTCTTTAAGTGTTTATTATCTAAATTAATAACTAAAAATTAATATTGATCGTTTTGTATAATAAGTTTAATTTTCCAAACTTATCATTTTAATTAACGTCAAGTGAAATGAACAAAATCAAAGAAAATGTATCACCCTTCACAAAAATTCTAATAGTGTCAAAAAATTACTTCCCTTAGTCCCTTAGCATGAAATACTTTCCTTGATATACCACAAAAAAAAATTACTTCCCTTAGTCCTTTACCACCTATTACTTTCCTTGAAAAGACACCAAAAAAAAATGTACTTCCTTAGACCCATCAGTGGAAAAAAATACTTCTTATTAGCTTGTTTTGATGATGGAAAAAACATAATTAAATAATTAGCATGTATTGACAAGCTGCAATATGGTAGATAAAACAGAGGTATTTTAAATACTACCTTTTATTTATTTTATATATTAAATGCACTTTTTACTAATTATTATGTTTAATCAATAACAGTTTAGTAGCCGTTCCTAAATATCCTCTATCGTAACTTTTATCTTTCTTTTGCAAATGAGATGGAGTATTATTGTTGTTCACTAAATTGAATTTTGCGCCCCAGGCTAGGCTAGGTTACTATAGCCCTTAACTAAATCGAATCCAGGGCATCCTCTGGTGTCCCGACAGGGTGCTATTTGGCCTTCCAGTCAGCACTATGGCGCTTACGTTCATTAAAGTGGGCGCAATAGACTATGGATAAGTTGGGATATTTACTAAGTTGAATCAGGCATATGCGCCAGCGCCCAGGCAAGGTGCGATTTGGCACCCCGGGCTATGCTGTGAGCACTATGCATTTATGTTTGCATTTTAAGTTTGTGTTTATGTTCTGCGTTATTGTTTGCATTATTGGAAGCAAATCCAAAAAGAAAAGCAGGCTGAAATCATAGTCAATGGCCTCAATGGCGCAAAACCAGTTGACTAGTATACTTAATAGTGTTTGAAAGGGGTCGGTAAAGCTCATGGTTGCTAAACCGAAGCAAAGTCTCAAGTTGGATCACTTCCAACACTAAAAATTAACAAAGAAGAAAAAGATATATATAATATACACCTATATATATAATATATAAAGACCTATATGTATACATATATATATATAGCATATGTATATACATATATAATATCTAGGCCTATATATATACATATATAATATCTAGGCCTATATATATATATATAAATTCTATATATATATAATATATAGGCTTATATATTATATATATAGGCTTATATATATTATATATATATATATATTATATATATATATATATTATATATATATATATATATATATATATTATATATATATATATATATATATATATATATATTATATATATATATATATATATATTATATATATATATATATATATATATATATATATATATATATATATATATATATATATATATATATATATATATATATATATATATATATATATATATATATATAGGCTTATATATTATTTATATACACCTATATATATATATATATATATATATATATATATATATATATATATATAGGCTTATATATTATTTATATACACCTATATATATATATATATATATATATATATATATATATATATATATATATATATATATATATATATATATATATATATATATATATATTTATATTTATATATATATTTATATATATATATATATATACACACCTATATATATATATATATATATATACATATATATATATATATATACTAGCAGAGCCGGCATTAGGAACACGCGGGGCCTAGTGCCAACCCTCCGCGCGGGGGCCTGCTTTTTTCCATTATATAAATAGCCTATATATATATATAAATATATATATATATATATATATATATATATATATATATAAATTTTAAAAAAATATATATATATTATACGTGCACATATAATAACAGATAAATGTTTTGGAGTTTATAAGCTATTGCCTAACTTCTCACTATAAAAACAGATGTTTACCTCTCCCGCGTTTTACCCAACGTTCTTAATTGTTTTTTTCTTGCTAAGATATTAAATCACTTTTGACAGTTATGTAATCCATACCAAAAATCTCTAGGAAATTCAATGACATGCCAAAAAATTAGGACAATAAAGTTGTTTTAATTGTTTGTTGATGACCAATAGTTAATATAAAAGTAAAGCGTTTTAGGTGTATTTAAAAAAGAGACTGTACCGTTAGTAACTTAGTAAGCGCAGAATTTTAGACAAATGTTAATATCAACAAAACAAGAGTAATTAATTAAAAGTTAAAACAAATAGAAAAATATAGCTTTTGGACTTAGCTCGAATCGTGAATTAACACTGGTTATGAATCGTGAAAACCCACTCTATGTTTATGGATATCCAAAAGAAATAATTCTCAAATGTAATCACTGACACTCAGTGTAGGGTGGAGCTTTGGGGTGGGTGGCTGCTGGTGGGATGAACTAAAGGATAACTGCGTATTTAAATCTATGCCAAACCCTAAGAAAAAAAATCTCCAAGTTCGAGTATTACTTTACTACTACGTTACTGGATCTCTGACCGAAGAAGGTTTGTGTTTGTAGACAGAGTTTCTCAGAGTTTCTTCCAGGCATCTCTTCGGGGGGGGGGGGGGGGGCGGACCGAAGAAAGTCTACCGCCTCCCGAATGAGATGGATTTTATATAGTAAACATACACTTTTACTAGTGTCCGCCCCGCGAAAAATGTTGACCGCCCCCCCCCCCCCCCCCCCCCCCCCGAAAATTTCAAGTGCCCCCAGGAGAAATGCCGTGAATGCCGGTATCTTAGACGTGTGAGAAATTAGGACAACTTTACAATAAAGCGAACTCGGTCCGAGGTATCAAAACAGTATGGACTTCAAAATTTGTTTAGAATCCATACAATATTTTAAACCAATCATCATTATGCTCCAAACTATTGTAAAGGATATCCTACAATTAAAAAAATGTGCGTTTATTAATGACTACCATATCACTGCCCCTCAACGATGCCCATTCCTACATAAAAGTTGTCCGACTTGGACAATTCGATGACTATATTATGTCAGCACCATTGAAAACGATTGTATATAACAATTTGAATGAATTCGGTAAATTAATAATTATGTTTGGGAACTTATGAATCTTAAAGATGACACAACATAACAACACTTTTACTTTCTTCCAAAAAAAAAAAAATAATAATAATAAATCACCCTGTTGGATGCCCCCCCCCTCCCGATATGGATTCCCCCCCCCCCTATGCCCGCCAGTGAATGTTAATTTTGTTATACCAAGACAAGTAGGCCTACATATACGACACCTACCTTCAACAAGAAAGTTAGGACTAGCGTTCACTAACTGTCTACTACAAGCATCCCGTCTGTTCACTACAAAACTTCATCGGCCCGCATACAATAAGGTATCTGATTATGGGATTTCCAAATTTTCCTCCCTGGTCAGGTCGGGAGCTAATTCTAGTCCACCCATCTCCAGTCACCAGCAACAATTGTTTAAGTTTACAAATTAATACAGATAACAGTGACGATGCTGAAGCGCGGGGCTCCTTCAGGCGCGGGGCCTGGGGCGGCCGCCCCGTTCACCGCCCCCAAACGCCGGCTCTGTATACTAGCGTATCCGTAAAATATATTAGTATTGTAATACTAATAGGATATGGTCAGTGTATTGTAGCATGTCTTTTTTTATTTACTTACAAGTTCAAAAATTAAATTATTATTATTAATGTGCTACTATAAAGTATGAAGATGTACCTGTTGGTCATAATAATAAGTTCTGTAAGTGTATGGTTCTTGTAGTGGCAGAAGTTTCTTGGCACTTGAAACAGTGTGACCAAAGTGCAAAGATTCAACATTTGTAAAGATCACAACAAGTTCACAAATTAGAAAACAATACTTCAATGAAAATTCCATGGTGGTGTGAGAAGAAATATAGGCCTATCTTTATTCTTTAGTGGTTATGGCTGTGATGAATATTATTAATATTCTGTAAAAAAAACATTATTAATATTATTTTTTTTATTATTATATATTATAATTATATATTATATTATATAAATAATTGGTAATCTATCGTTTTGGGTACGTAAAATCGCCCGCGGCTATTTATGTACGAAAACGATACCTCATTGTCAAGGCTTTAATAGAGGTATATTGTCATATGTTTGTGTCAAATATTATAGATAAATGAATAATAAAACTAAATCAATGGCTAAATATATCAATATAGGCCAGAAATTAACTTTAAACAGCAGTGTCTGAGAGCAAGATTTGCTATATAAACAGCAGCCATTTGTAAAATAGAGTGGCTTCCCCCTGAATCTTGCGCTATAAGCTTGTAAAAATAAAACTTAGACAAGATGGCTGCTAGAGTAAATGAGCATGGTTGCATCTGTTGGAAACATCGCTAGTCTTCATTTATTACGGAAAAGTTTTAATTCAATTGTTTAAAAATAGGTACATAAATGAAACAAGGAAACATTTTTGTATTTAAAAAAACATAAATCCTCCTCAAAATGTGAAATAATTATTAAAATTTAAGGAGTCACCTGTTTTTCACATTACAAGTCGCTGGCGATTTTACGTACCTAAAACGATAGATTACCAAATAAATTATTAATTATAGTTAGGCCTAGGCCTATTTAAATTTATAATTATAGGCCTAGCCCTATAGCATATAGGCCCTATACTATAGGCCTAGGTACTAAAACGAAAGATTACCACTACGACCTTTATTTTTAATAACCATACATATAGTGATATACATACATATTACATACATACTATGATTATGATACTTAGTAATTTCACTAATCACTAATGTGTAGTAACTTACAAATTACAACGGACCATGGAGATAACATTAATAACAATGTTTTCAGTCGGCTTGGGAGTCATGTGATGTTTTGTCACGTGATATGCCTTTGTGGTTGAATGCACATAACCGAAATCACATGATATTAACATGCGCAGCCATCATGACGCCCTATCATAGCACCGGTTTTCGCTATGTATTTTATAGTGCTTGTCCTAAGGTTTTTTTTTTTAACCTGCCACCCGCAGCACAGCAAAAATATTTAAAGAAACTCGAATTATTCAGGAACCTTTTTTATGTTTTGTGACCAGCTCAACACGAACTAAATGCCAACACGGACAAAAGGCCAACATTGACAAAACGCCAGCACGAACTAAAGGCCAATACGAACTAAAGGCAGTGGCGTAGCGAGGTCGGGTGTCACCCGGTGCGGCACTTAATGGTGTCACCCCCCCCCCCCCCCCAGAGGCATAGAGACCCTTCCCAGGGACAAAATTTCAAATTTTCGATTTGCACCCCCCCCCCCCTCAAACTTTCGATTTGCACCCCCCCCCCTCAAGTTTTCGATTTGCACCCCCCCCCTCAAACTTTCGATTTGCACCCCCCCCCTCGAGTTTTTCTCTATATATTTTGCTATTTTTTGCCTTGGTGTCACCCCCCTAAATGGTGTAACCCGGTGCGGTCCGCACCCCCCGCCCCCCCCCCCTCGCTACGCCCCTGACTAAAGGCCAACACGAACTAAAGGCCAACACGAACTAAAGGCCAACATGGACAAAAGGTCGACAAGATAAAATGCCGACAAGACAAAGCCGACAGCTAACGTTACATAACGATAAAGCTATATAACAACAAAGAAAAACAAGTTAATTAAAAAAGTCTAGTGACATTTATGCGCAATTTCCTTATGTTATCTAAAAATAGCTCTGACGTATAATGCCGGGGTGCATTCAAGCTAGAAGAACGATCGGTTTGTAGGTGTTTATGTAATTTTAAAATTTGTGACCGAACGAGAGGATATTTTTGAAAACTTTCTTCGGCAATATTGTTCTAAATTATGGCAGGAATCGATTGGTACATGTTTCAAGTCGCTAAGTGGTCTGGTTGCCGAGATATTGGCCAAAAACTGAATTTTTTCGAGGTTTTTTGGCTTTTCCGGGAAATACATGAAAGAAACCCGGAATTTTTATGGCCTATGCTCATTCTTGTAACTTGCTTAACATAATTGCTTTTGGAACTAGTCATCGATATTGCTTCATTGAGGAGGAGATACGACTTAAAGCCCGGACACACACTCATCCATATGTGAGCGGGTGAATGGATTTTTTTGTATTATTTTATTTGTTGCGAATCTGGGAGTGCATGGTGGTCCAATGGGGAACAGCACGGGGTCCCCCTTCCGCTCGAAGCGGTCAGTATAAATTGACCGCTCGGAGTGATTTTCTTCCTTTTTTTTGACCCGCGGCGAGATGTAGGTCGGGTCAGGTTTCTGCGTGGCGCACCGCACGCGTGGAGTGAGGTTGCTTGTGCAACTTGGCTGGGTGTTTTGTTATATATGAATTGTTTTGTTATATATGAATTGTTTTGTTTGGTGTAAAAAGTTTGTTGTGTACGTATTGTGTTCTACGTAATGTATTGTACGTAGTGGTTTTACGTAGTGTTTTGTTTGGTGTGGACTTTTGGATGTCGAGAATGGATGAAGGGAGGTTTCTGTGTGTCAGGGCCTGGACCATCCTAGACATCATAAGTCGGCGCAACACCAGCAAATGGTCAAACGTAATGTTTTGTTTGATGTAAAAAGTTTGTTTCGTTGGTTCTGTTTTGTGTCAGTTTTTTTATCTATTCTTTTTTTATAACTTTTGGTTCCATATTTTGTTGAATAAATTTTATACTAGTCATTCTTGGTAAATAAATTTTATTAACTGTAAAAGTTTTTGTTTTATTTTAGTAGCTTATTATTTAGACTAAGGTTAGGGTTTAACCACTGTGGGTTCTACCACGGTTGCACTGACCGGACAGATTAGTTAGTTAAGCCTAGAAGGGTAGATTTTAGGTATCCCCCCCTAGCAGGGCTTACAAATTGGTAGCACGAGTGGGGTCAGTGCTTTAGTCTAGTTAAATTTTTGTTTTTCTGTTAGGGCTGGTGTAGCTTAGATAAAAAATTTTGTTCTTGATAGGCCCTTTTTGGAACCATATGTGTTTAGTTTGTGTGTAGTGTAGGGATTGTTTGTTGTTTAAACACCCAGTCAGGTTGGCGGAGAGACGTGCCTCGACGAGCCTTCAGTGTGCGTGGCTGGACAAGGCACGGTGTGTGGCACTGGACCTGGCGTGTGATGAAGATGGCGGCCTCGTGTGGTCTAGACTGGACAACACACACGGGCGTGGCGCGGATCTGGTGTGTACGGCAGACCGGTGAACAACGAGAGGCCTATGACGTCAATTCCTTGACCCACAAAGAGGGCTACTGGACACCCGCCCCACAGGTGTGTCGAAGCGGAGGCACGATCGTTGGGGGCGGGTAACAGTCGGAGAGCCAGTGGGGCAAGGCGGTTGCGTCACCACCTGGCCCAACCAAGCGGACGCTCCCCACCAACGAGAGGCCTATGACGTCAATTCCTTGACCCACAAAGAGGGCTACTGGACACCCGCCCCACAGGTGTGTCGAAGCGGAGGCACGATCGTTGGGGCGGGTAACAGTCGGAGAGCCAGTGGTTCAAGGCGGTTGCGTCATCTCCGGACCAACTAAGCGGACGTTTTACCGGTGGTCTTACGATGAGGCCAGAACCAGTACACGGTGTGTTGTGTAGTGGACCCAGGTGGACGGGATGGACAGGCAACGTGTGCCATTAGTAGCGGGCGGGTCTAGGCTGACCCTCCCCCCTTGTCCTTCTGGATGAACGACCGACAGGACTAGTAGCGCGGATCAGCCCTCAGTGAAGCGAACACTATCTTGGTGCCTTGAGTTTTTTTAGGGAGCACAGACGCAAGATTAATGTTAATGGAAATTGTTTTTTTCTTGCATTCAAGCTGATAGGCTTGGTGTAAGAGATGGGTGCATGTTTTATTTTAAGATTGTTATATGTATTTTTTTGTCTTACAGGGACTGTAAGATTTTTAAAAGGGGTGAATGTGAGCGGGTGAATGGATTTTTTTGTATTATTTTATTTGTTGCGAATCTGGGAGTGCATGGTGGTCCAATGGGGAACAGCACGGGGTCCCCCTTCCGCTCGAAGCGGTCAGTATAAATTGACCGCTCGGAGTGATTTTCTTCCTTTTTTTTGACCCGCGGCGAGATGTAGGTCGGGTCAGGTTTCTGCGTGGCGCACCGCACGCGTGGAGTGAGGTTGCTTGTGCAACTTGGCTGGGTGTTTTGTTATATATGAATTGTTTTGTTATATATGAATTGTTTTGTTTGGTGTAAAAAGTTTGTTGTGTACGTATTGTGTTCTACGTAATGTATTGTACGTAGTGGTTTTACGTAGTGTTTTGTTTGGTGTGGACTTTTGGATGTCGAGAATGGATGAAGGGAGGTTTCTGTGTGTCAGGGCCTGGACCATCCTAGACATCATAAGTCGGCGCAACACCAGCAAATGGTCAAACGTAATGTTTTGTTTGATGTAAAAAGTTTGTTTCGTTGGTTCTGTTTTGTGTCAGTTTTTTTATCTATTCTTTTTTTATAACTTTTGGTTCCATATTTTGTTGAATAAATTTTATACTAGTCATTCTTGGTAAATAAATTTTATTAACTGTAAAAGTTTTTGTTTTATTTTAGTAGCTTATTATTTAGACTAAGGTTAGGGTTTAACCACTGTGGGTTCTACCACGGTTGCACTGACCGGACAGATTAGTTAGTTAAGCCTAGAAGGGTAGATTTTAGGTATCCCCCCCTAGCAGGGCTTACACATACATTCATCCATCCATTCCCAGAAATAACGAGTTAATAAACGCAATTCTCCAGAATGGAAATTGCGCTAAAAACCAGAACCTAATATGATAGATTGTATGCTGTGCCCCGTAGTCTGCTTCCGTTTTCCCGTTCATATAAATATGTATTTTTAGCGCAATTTCCATTCTGGAGAATTGCGTTTATTAACTCGTCATTTCTGGGAATGGATGGATGAATGAATGAATGTATGGATGAATGTGTGTCCGGGCTTTAAGTCGTATCTCCTCCAGTTTTTGTCCCATATCTCGGCAACCAGACCACTTAGCGACTTGAAACATGTACCAATCGATTCCTGCCATAATTTAGAACAATATTGCAGAAGAAAGTTTTCAAAAATATCCTCTCGTTCGGCTACAAATTTTAAAATTACATAAACACCTACAAACCGATCGTTCTTCTAGCTTGAATGCACCCCAGCATTATACGTCAGAGCTATTTTTAGATAACATAAGGAAATTGCGCATAAATGTCACTAGACTTTTTAAATTAACTTGTTTTAGAATTACTTTCTCGTATACGAAGTAGAATCTAGATCTAAAAAATTAATAAAAAAACGTTTTAATAACAAAGCTTTTATGTACTAATGCACTAAAAAGTAGAAAATAAATTATAGACTACTATTTAAATAACTAGAAAGAAAAGCGTGGGTTACTTTAGTACTTTAATACCTATTGGATACCTTTACTAATGTTAAGGAAGACACCCACGCTTTTCTTTCTAGTTATTTAAATAGTAGTCTATAATTTATTTTCTACTTTTTAGTGCATTAGTACATAAAAGCTTGTTATTAAAACGTTTTTTAATGAATTTTTTTTCAGTACTTTACATGCTTTATTTACAACGAGCCGACCCGCTATTTAGTTGTTTTATTTACTACTTTTCAGTAATTCATAATTTGTGAATTCGACAGTACCAATGCTGCCACTGAAAATATTTGCTTTAAAACAGTAACCCCCCCCCTTTCCTCTAACCCCGACCCTACATCCCCCCCCCCCGTGAAAGCAGCCTCCTCTTAGTTATTTCTTAGTTACCTACTGTAAGTTTAAAATCGAACTAAATTATCTGCCCCTAATAGAAACCCGGCTCTACGGCTCTACAATTTGTAAACATTTAGCTTTGTAAACATTTAGAGTGAACACCGCTCACCAGATAATTTGGGGGTGGGGTGGGGGTGGTAGTGATAGTGATAGAGAGAAAGAGAG